CGCTCGTCTCGTCGCGAAACAATGGGGAGAGGACCGCGGTTGAATTCGCGCGAACGCCCCCGCCCGTCGCTCGGAAACCGCTGCCGACGGCGGCGGGGGAGCGTGCCGCGGATTCCGCGACGCTGAAAACCCGGAGTTCACTTCCGGGAACAAAGCGAGCCTCCCGATAAACGGGCCAATGAAATTCACGAGAATTCAGCTCGCAGGGCTGGCCGCGTTCGGCCGTGCCTCGCCTCGCCTCGCCTCGCCTCGCGGCTGCTGAATGAATTCAGACGCAGCGGCACGGTAAATATTCACGAGTCGAATTAAAAAGTTTTCCTTGGCGGCGCGCGGTGTCCTTTCGGTTGCCGAGACCAATGAATCCGAATGCCGCGCGTAGCGTCTGGCGAGCCGGTCGCTACGCGCGGACTGAACTTAACCCTTTGCACTCGAGAGGTGACTCTCAGTCACCATTTGATTTCATACAGTAAAACTATAAAATTTGATGCTTAATATTATATTTCCTGTAATGCATCATTTTGAGAAATATTCAAATAAAATAGCTTTGTTCCTCAATGTACGTGTGATTTCTCGTCGAGTAGGTTTCACAAAATATCCTCTCTACCTCATCAGAAGACGTTCAAATATTTCTAATGAAGAACTTCCGAGTGCAAAGGGTTAACCCTTAGCACTCGTGGTTGTTTTGTAATCTATCAGCGACTGCGACTAATTTCTATAATATTCCTAGCGAAAATTATAAATGATTCAATCAGCAGAATTCTACGATTCAGTAAGGAATATTTAGAAACTTTTGTGTTACTAGCTTAGAAAGAATGTTTAGTAATCAACTATATCTGAGGTAAGAATCAAATAAGATAATAGAAACCAAACAGTTCAAAGGGTTAAGTGGTTCATTATTTTCAATATTATCGCTTAAGAGAATCGTTCATACTGCTCTCTGTACAGTAACTACTTCTTCAAATGCATTTCAAATAAAATATCGTAACAATAGAGTTCTCAAGGAAAAAATGCAAAAAATTCCTAACGAAAAGAGTTAATATTAACTATCAACAAAAAGACGATAGATGGTTCTCCGAGAGATCAGTAAAGAAATTGATACAGCAACACGCCAGCTGAAATGTAGATCAATTCAAGTTCCCCGCTAGGTGTACTCTTAAAGATAATCGAAAACAGTTCGTCGTTTCTCGTATAAAGTCACTGTAGCTCCGTATTTCCATTCGGACATTTCGAAAGATCCTAGTACCGAGCTGTTCTAATCTTTTCATAGAAAGAAGAGTATACATCAAGATTTTTTAGTAACTTCCGTGAGAGGCATTCCCGAGATAATCGCGAAAGGAATCAAGCTCGCGCCATTTGAAGTCGTCTAGCAATTCTAGAGTTAATAAACGTCGGCTGAATCTGGTCGTTCCGATGAATCCTCGGCTGGAACTGCTCCGCCGTGGAGCTCTGGGAATTATGCAGCGGAACGGAGAGCATTTTTTAGCAGCGCTTTCCGCGATTCGACTGGAATCGAGACGCCTTTCATCGCGATACACGCGCGTAGAGGGAAACGACGCCGACGGACGACGACGACGACTCTGCCGGGGATGAATCTCGGAGCGGTGGCTCGGTAAATATTCAAAGAGCGGATTCAAAAGTTTCACGCCGACGAGAGGAGCAAGTTCGGTCGGGCGAGGCAGCTCGAGGATCCTCCGCATTAGCGGCGCAGTCGGTCGTCGGGCGTTTTATGCGCGAGGACGAGGGAGCCGCGTCTACTTTGCACTCGCTCGGGACTGCGCGCCGGGCGGTTTATTAGTCCGAAACTTCAGACTTCCGACCGAACCTATAAATCTCATCCGGAAACGGAAAGAACGTCTTCTCCTCGCGAGAAGGTCGCCGGAAAACGAAAAACACGCTCCCAGTTCGACCGATTAGCTCGCGAATTCGAGCGTTGTTCTCGGAAACGTCTCGACCGCGCGAAGAGTAATAGGCGTTCGCGTTCGGCGACGCGTTGCTCGCATCGAGCCGTTAACCGAACATCGGAGAAGCTCGACGGGCGTGGAAAGGATGCGCGATGATGAAGACGAATGTTCCCGCGGCCCTCTAACGAACCTCGCAAATCCGCGAGGAAGGCGAGGCTCCGCCGGGCGCAGGAAAACGCCGATCGCCGGGGTGCTGGAGAACGAGACAAATCGCCTTTTAACCCGCCTCTCCGGGAGCTTCGCTCTAATTGGCCGTGCGAGCGGCGCGCGCGGACGAACACGCTTTCTGGACGAAACTCGGTAACTTGGGAAGTATGAGTGATGGAAAAAAATGCTTCGGATGAGAGTTTTAGGGTATAGTGCTGAGCATCTGGTGGTTATATTCTTTTTTCACATTACGGAGGTATTAAGGAGGTTTTTCGATAACAATGGTGTAGACGGTTCTTTTGCGTGTCTATATTTGGGGGCTGAGAGATAGTCCAGGCCCATTGACAAATTTATGAACCAGGGGACCACCATGACGGTCACGTACGCCAAGTCTAAATATATTTAGCGTAATAAATATACTTAACCTGACTATGGACTTAGTTTTTATTTTAACAGCCCTACAACGGATACGGTCCGATTCCAACGTACAAACAGAGGAGCCGAATTTACTCGCTGTAAATTACTTCCGAAACAAGAATCATCCGTACAGTTGCTACTTAGCAACGCATAAATAACCCCCAATGCTCAATATCCGCATAGTCGAATTTCGGGGTCTCGTCCGCGGGCGGACCGCGCGCGTCCGGAATGCCTAACGCTTCGATCGCTTCGGCCAGCACGAATTTCACCGCGGACAGGCTCGATCGCGCGCATCGGAGCGCACCGACTCGGCGTAATTGATGTTTGCGCGGAAGCTGCATCGCGAGCTCGCAGGGACGACGACGAACGACACGCGGATCGATCGATCCGGACTCGGGGGAGGGAGCGCGGCGATGGTTTCCGGGTCCCGGAGGAGCGGAAGTATCGAATGAGCCATCGGCGGTCCGCGGTGATAAGTTGAGTCCTTAATTAAAATACGCGGGAAGTTACATAGAAGTTGGAGCGGGCCGGCCGGGCGATTTCATGGCCGCTCTAAAAGACGTTCGGAGATTAAAAGTGACGTAAAAGTTGTACCGTTACCGGGGACAATTCAGCGGCCCCATCGGGGACGATTCGGTTAAACGGGAGTTTAAGAACTTCCATGAAATCGCCCGGTAAAAGGATAGTTGGCGTCGTACCACGAGCCAGACCGCCGCCGACGCCGCGGACGACGCGGACGACGCGGACGTCTCACTCCTTCGAGCGGCCCTCAGGATCGTCGAGGGCCGCGCCGCGCGGATTCGCCGATCGATCGCCGATAATCGGCCGCGGAAATTTCCCCGCCGCGGTCGTCGACACGGATCCGGCGGACGGGGCAACAAAACCCGCCGACGAGTCGCGCCGAGGCATTTTCCGGCGTCGCGGTTATCGGAATTTCATTATCGGCGCTCGATCGATTACCGTCTACCGAAAATACCCCGATAACTTCTAATAACCCGGCCGATAATTATCGTAACGATCCGGCGTGCATTAATTATCGGCGCGCGGATAAATTCTTCCGTCGGAGCGGAGGCGCGGCTCGCGCCGGCTTCGACGCACGGTGGACGATGGACGCGAATACGCGGGATGTTCTCTTTTTTAGGGAACTAGTTCGAGGATGTTCGGAGGTAAATGGTGAAGTATGAAACAGAGAGGTATTGAATCGAATCGATTCGATTGAATAATATTGAATGTAGTCGGACCGCTTCGGTAAACGTGAATGTTTATTAACCCCTTGCACTCGGAAGCATTTCGTCGGAAATATTTAGAAAATGTTACACAGACGAAAGAAAAATCACAAGGGAATTGAGAAACAAAGCTTTTTATCCCAATATTTTACACATCGATGCATTATATGCAGTTCAGTATTGAATATCAAATTTCATAGTTTTACTACATGAAATCAAGTGACTGAGTCACCTCTCGAGTGCAAAGGGTTAATGTTAGTTAATTTTGATAGGTTTATTGATACTGAGTGTATCGCCGAGTGGTCTCTTAAGCGAATGCGATATAAAAAGTGAATATGAACTGTAGCTTTACGTGCTGTCGATTGTCTCGTACCAGGCTTCCCAGTATCGAGAGAAGCTGTCACAAAGCGTCTCGCGTATGTAAACAAATGTATTCCAACAATAAATAATATTCCTTTATTTACATAATTTATCAGAGAATCCTCTCGCGAGAATACGCGCTCAGACGCACCGCGCGAGCGCTTCATCGTCTATCACGATCCGCGGCACGTCTGCGTTGAAAAGAGATATCGGGAATAATTGCGATGAGTCTCTGAAACGGGGCGGAACAGGGGACGAGGGGCGCGGCGCGTGTTTCAATGGTATTCCGCGTTAAATGAAAATTTCGCGTCAACTTCCGTAACAACGGGGACAGATTACGGAGCAGCGCCAGGAGCCGCCATTATTACGGGGCTCGCGCGTTTATGCCGTTCAGCAAATTTACTCGCGTCACGTTCGGCCATGCGTCGCCTTGCCGATTAACACGATTCCCGGCGCGGAAGCGGGCGGCGTGGAAGTCTTTGTCGCGATCAGGTGTCACGCCCGCGAATTAATCGGATTAAACGCTCTCCGGGTATAACGGTTTTCCGTCGCGGGGCAACGTTCGACGGAGAACGACAAGCGTTCGGCGCGCGTATCGGCGGAACGGGTTGTTCGCTCGCATTTATGATCGTGTCTGCGACCATCGCGCGTTACGTCTGCCCACCCGTTCGCAACGTTTCAACGAGAGAACTCGCCGGGAGAAGGGAGACGGAAGGAGTTGCCCGCTCGCGACGAAAGAGTGTTCGCGGCCGGCGTTTCTCTACTCACCTGCGATTATCACGCGGGCCGTGTGGCTGATCTGGCCCTCCCCGTTACGCGCGATGCACGTGTAATCCCCGATGTCCTCGGTCTTGATCGTCGAGATCCTGAGCTCCGTGCCGTCGTTGAATATCCCGATGGTGGTCGACGGCTCGACCGGATTCGCGTCCTTGTACCAGAGGATTTCGGGCGTCGGCGTGCCTTCCGCCTGGCAGTTTAGAATTATCGCGTCGCCCACGTTCACGTAGATCATGTCCTCCGGCGTGATGCTAAACTTCGGCGGCGCTGTGGAAACGAACGATCTTTATTCCGTCGCCGCGCGCCGATCGGACGTTCGCTTGCCGCTGATTGCTTGGGAGCTGAAAGCCGCGGAGACAAAGGGACTGCTTCGCAGCGGAGTGTCCCAGATTATCGATGCTCTGCGAACCTTTATGCATTTACAGGGGGATGCACGTTTCAAATACACGTGATACGAGAAGCAAGTGTTCGGATTACAGTTTTTATGTTTGCTGAAAACTGTTTCTTATCGTAAGTATACTTTTCTAATTAAGGTAAAGGCAGTAGTCGAGTTAGAGACCCAATGCGTGAGAACGCTGTTTTGAACTTCTGATGAAACAAAGAACTTTCTATACACCGTTTCTGAATGGCAACGTTAACACTAGAACTACCGAGTTAATTTGAGTTTCTGAAATTTCTCTGTAAAAACTCCGAGAGTGCATTTGTTGAAAGTCGAACTGATTTAGATCTCAGTTTGCGCGTTGAATCGATTTGTTTAATAACTTCTCAGAGAAACATTTGTTGTCTTTTTAATAATTGCACAGAGGCGTTAGGAATGTCATTTTACCCGTCTGGTAGTTTTAGTGTTAAGGAAGTTGCAATACAGTCAACGTCAATGAAGTAAATCGTTAGTTTCTACGATAAACAATTTAATTCAGCTAAAAGTGTCTCGAAGCTGATATCTATCGCGCCTATCGAAAGGTTACTGCTTTCAAAAACCTAGTTTCCCCTTCTCCTAAAAAATGGTGCCTTTACCTTACACCCTCGAACACTCGAATTCCCATAAAAGTCCACAGTCTGATCATTAAAAATTCCCCCATCGCATCTCTTCGAATTGTTTCGTTCGTGCCTCCGAGGGCGTCAGTTTCCGCAACCACTCGACCGCGATCGAAAGGATCCCTTTGCCTCCGTGACTTTTTACACGCGAGTAGCCAGCCGACATTTCACCGGTGCACGGTGGTACCGACTCACGGAACGTGTCTCGCAAGGAGCCGAGCGACGGAACCGGCGCGGTGGGATGGGAAAACCGAAAAAAAGGAGATCGGCGGTCCGATTGCAGTGCCGCTTCATCGATCGCTGGTCGAAGAAGGAGCCCGAGACTTTTATGGGGTCGTCGAACGGACGAGAAAACGACCGCGGCACCCGGTGACGGTGCATTATTCCGCGGAAACGGCATTAAGGGAACAATCAAGCCCTCGAATCGCGCGGCCGCTCGGCGAAGACGCCTCCGCGCGCTCTTCGGGCGGTTTTTACCTCCGACAGGAATCACGACGGCCCTTCAACGACCCCGACGACAGCGCCGGCACAAAGGAGCGGGTCCATTTTTGCCGCGCGCAAAGCGTCTCCCTCCTCCGCGCGTACAGACGAGCGTCGGCTGGCAAATCGCGGACACTGGATAATCGCGCCATCGAGAACCTCTTCATAATTCGAACACTCGAGTCCCAATTCGCGTCGCGATTATCCAATATTTACCGTACTCGAAAGCAGCGACGAGGCTAACGGAGGGAGAACAGGAAAATCCGGAAGAGGGACGTCGCGGCGTCCGCGGGGTCTCCTCGAGCGTTTCCGGCTTCCTCGCGGCTCTTCTTTCTCCGCTTGCGCTCTTGGTTTTATTCGCGACGAGCCGCTATCTGTCGCGAACTTCCCGAAAGTTCGTCGCGCCGGCGATCGGGGAGGAAGCCCGACGGAAGGGCCGACGAGGCGGAAGGGGGCGGAAACAGGGGCAACAGTTTACGGGTGTAACGCGAGCAAACGACCGGCGGAGAGACCGCTCGGAAAAAAGAAGTACAAAGGAAGTAGGAACGCTTTCGCCGGCCGAGTGCTTCTCCGCCTTTGACGCCGCTGGCAAATCCTTAGTCGACGCAATCGTCGCTCGCCGCTGACGTTGGCCCGTCATCCGAGCCGTCGTCGACGTCGTCGGCGTCGTTGTCGTCAACGTCGTCGACGAGAACGTCGAGTGGTGGCCGTGGGCTCGGCAGAGAACGAGAGTGGAAAGTTGGACGGGCGGAAAGAGGGAACTATGGGGAGCGGGTGGAGGGGAACGCGCGGCGTGACGAGAGGGAAAAGGAGGATGCGGCGTTTCCTAAGCCATCTAAATGTTTCTCTTCCCAGAGGCCGTTCATCGTCGCTTTATGGCCGGGCAAAACGCGGCAATAAGTTCTCCTTTCTCCTCGGCTGCCATTTTTCCTGTTCTCCGTTCCTATCGTTCGGTTCGCTGACCCCGTCCTCGGCGTCGTCGCCGCCGCGGCGGTCGTCGCCGTCGCGTCGACGGAACGCGTAAAACTTTATCGCGCCGCTCGACGAAAAGAATTGAATTGAATCCGCCGTGGAACGTCACCTTCCTTTTCCCTTCGCCCGGTTGCGTCCTCTTTCTCCTCCGCTGTTCGGCCCCCTGTTTCGTTCCCCTGTTATCAGCGTCGCTTACCGGATTTTCCCTCCTATTTCCCCCCGGCGACGCGAGGAGGAAACTCCATTCGGGGGAATAAGAATTTACAAGTCCTCGCGAAACGATAGGGAGGCCCGAGCGACTTTCCCCATCCGTCAGGGAGACAGTGAAGCGCGGTCGCCCCGCGAAATCGCCTTAAGCTCGGGGTGATGTTAATGAGACAGCTAGGAGCCACGTAATTTCGGCGACTCCACTGCGGAGAGGGACTCGAGATATCAACCGATCGTCGGGAGTATTTGAATATTTTCGAATGGATACGATGATGTTACGAGATTCCTCCGATTTTTCCGTTTCCCGACGGAGGAACGCCGGATTTCCGGTCACAGGTCGCGCGGATGGATGACCGTCGCCAGTGGACCGATCTGTGATCGCGCGATTAAGCCGATCAATCGCGCGGAACGGTCCGCGCGCGTGCAAATTGGTCGGCCATTAGTAACGGCGGTCGTTCGGCCGCGATGCTGACTAATCATCGGGCCGGAACCGCGCGGGAACGACGATGTCCGCTCGCTCGCGCGTGTACTCACCGTGAACGTCCAGGTGAAACCAGGTGCCATTCTTGTTGTTGTTGGGCGACCTGTTGAGGAAGACGACCTTGCACTCGTACCATCCTTGATCGCTCTCGCGGATGTCGGTCAGGTTGAGGCTCGCCACGCCGTACGGTGAATTCGGGCTCACCTTCGAGACTCGACCTTCGTAACCCTCGCCACTGTGGGTCGGATACGACTCGTACCATATGTATATCGGTATCTCCTGCCCCTTGCACCAACACCAACACGCAACATAAACGAGGGATCGGCATGAACGGCTGCACACTGGTGCGAGACACTCTTCGGGATCGCGCGGTGACGTTCGGTACGGTCTTCGACTCGGTTCGGTACCGTTTCGCGACGCGTGTTCCGGCACGTGGACTCTATCGGTAACTCTGAGCTTCTTTCCTCTAATGAGAACCAAGGGAAACGATGATGACGGAGAAAATAGAAAGAGAGAGAGAGAGAGATAGAGAGAGAGAGTGAGAGAGAGAGAGGGAAAGAGAGAGTGATACCGCGATCGGAATGTCCGAGACTCGCTCGCACCAGCTGCCGGGGTTAATGAAATGACAAATGACGAGACAGAGGATGCAGCGTGTGTGAAGAGCGGAAACGATCTACGAGCGAAACGTCGCGACCCGGTCGGCGAGCCGCGTCCGCGCGAACCGCGGAACGCAACGAGCGAGGCGGCGCCCCCGCCCCGTCCCCGAACCGCGGGGCGCGCCGTGAATCCGGTGAAAATTTCATGCTCGCTGCGTTCCCGCGGAGCTGTCCTCCTCCATGCAAGCTTCTACCTACGGCCCGCAAAGGGGTTCGTTGCGCGCCGATGAAAAAGTAATCCCCGGACACGGTCGTGCGTGGTTCGAGGGGGTGCTGCTGAGAGAATAGGGAAGAGCGCGGAAACCAGCATGCGTTGCGTGCAGAAGTGTCATGCGAGAGAAAGAGAGTATCATCGATCGTCGGACGTTCGTTCGCTCTCGGTTTCAAAGGGAACGAGATCTCCCCGTTAATCGAATTCCAAGAAGCAAACGATCCATGAGCCGACCGTAGGAACATCGACCCTGGCATAGGGGAACTCCGTCAGGTCAGACATAAGAATCCAGCGATTAAAGTAGCGCAATGGAATTTCAGCGGAGTTCGAGAAGGAAGTTGGTTACGGAGCGATTCCAACGTTCGAGATCGATGATCTTCGTCGTGCCAAGCAGACACAGAATACAGAGCAGCGTCGTGCGACGGATCGATCGGGGAGTCCCTCGATCGGCTCCATTGTTCCCGTGCATCTCGCCTGCGGCGGGTGGCAGAACGGCTGCCGGACGCGCGTTTCGTGCGAGGCAGCGTCTCGTCGGTCGTCGACGTGAGCGAAGTGAGTTTGCCGAGCGATCTACGGAAAAACGGTGCATAGTGCGTTCGAAGCGGTCGACCGTGCGCCGAGATTCTCCGGGGCTGCTCGTGGCTGAACGCTGGCCGGGATCGATCGGAGAACACGCGATACGGCCGGGAAAATTGGCTGCAACGGGAAAAACGCTTGTCGACGATCGTCCCCGTTTCAGCCTCGCATTCTTCGGGCGCTCGCGCGCCGCGGCGGATCGATCCCTATCGAAATCGGACGGCCGGCCGAGGATCGCCCGC